TTTTCGAGCTGCTGGGTTGGCAGGAGCTGGGGGAGGAAGCAGGAGCTCACTCTGCTGCGCGGAGCTGGGCTTGAACCGCTGAAGTGTCGACTGTTTCTGGCCAGCAACTTTCAGCATCATTAAGCCGCTGCGCCACCACGTCCCCATTAGCCACGGATTAGTATTTCGTAATGCAGCCATGAAGGCTTTGGAAAAGATATTCAAATGATGTAATGTGTTTATACCTACAAAGATCAGAACTGTACAAGTCATTGTATTCTCTGTGACACTCTATGGAAGTGAAAATTGGACTTTGAAGAAGCAGGATAAGAAGAGTATTGACACTTTTGAATTTTGGTGTTGGAGAAGACTCCTGAGAATACCGTGGATAGCCAAGAAAACAAACTGATCGATCATCAAAGAAATCAACCCAGAGTTCTCATTCAAGGCACAAATGACCAGCTCAAATTATCCTACTTCGGACACATTATGCAGAGACCTAACTCTCTGGAGAAGGCTCTGATGTTGGGAAAGGTGGAAAGAAACAGAGGAGGATGACAACTAGCAGAAAGGTGGATGGACTCAGTTACAGTGGTAATGGATGCACCACTGGAAGACCTGAAAGACCAGGGACAGATCATCATGGAGAAAGTATATCTATGTGGTCACTTGGAGCTGAAAATGGCACATAATCAATCAATCAGGTTTTCAAAGTCCTCCCCTTGGAGCTTTTCTTTTGTAATTAGTGTACACGGTCTTCAAAAACAGCTAGCAAGATACTGCAAATTAAACTTTTTTTATTGCACAAAATTACACACACCTTGAAATAAAGGTGAATTATACCTTCATATATTGGGATATAGAAACATCATTTGCCTATATATACCAGTATAGAATTTATGCTATAATTTATGGCATATTTATATTTAGAGACTGTATCAGACAATTCTTGGACAATTTCTTGTACGGGGAGGGGGGGGGAAGGGAAGCAGGACTGGAGCCTGCCAGTTACCAGCTGGGTGGGAAGAAAGGGAAAGGAACATTACAGCTTTCATGAAACATCCTGTAGTTCCGCAGAAAGTGAGGACCTGTTGCACTAATCTTAAATCTTGTGTCTTTTAAACAGCCAAGGGCACTCATTCAGTCTCCCTCCGGCAGATTTAACTTTGGAGATTCCAATTCCAGGTTTATCCAGATGTTTGCTGAACGTGCAATTAAGGGGAAAATTACTCTGTATATCGGTCAAAAGGGACAGACATTTGGGATGAGTAGAAGGTCTGGCCCTCCCATATATCCCTTACGTGCCCCTCTATCTATGGCTGCAATTCTTAGCCCTGATGTTCACTTAGCATTCTTCATCCTCTGATTCAGGGTTTCTCAACCTTGGCTACTTTTATACAAGGGGGGGTTTAAACCCCCC